TCCTATGTACAGTCAACTCAAAAAAAAGCGATCACCCTTGGTACAGGAAAAACATCTCCATTAAAAAAAAAACAACCACCAAAGGAGGTGGTCGTTTAAGAGAAAAATCAGAAAAAAAGCAAAACACAAAAAATGATTTGATCGAAGAATCATCACTATTTCTAACCTCGACAGCACACACGGTTTCATGTGTAGAAGNNNNCCACCAAAGGAGGTGGTCGTTTAAGAGAAAAATCAGAAAAAAAGCAAAACACAAAAAATGATTTGATCGAAGAATCATCACTATTTCTAACCTCGACAGCACACACGGTTTCATGTGTAGAAGAACAAGTTTAGTTGAAATTAAAAAGCGATTAAAAAAAAAAAAAAAACAGGATAATTTCGAGATTCATTGCAAGAAATTGCTCTTGATCCACTAAGTGACTGAGTCAAACCAATCACCAACTGAAAATCGACAACTGCACTCCAAAACAGCAGGGCATAAAGGTCTACAAATTCAATTCTTGAGACGAACGATCATTCCTTGAAACGCAAGTCCATGCATATGTTTCTATGACAACCATCAGCCGGATTATCTGCCAAGCAATCGGTAAACCTAACTCCCTTCAAAGTGAAGGTGCGGCAAATAATTATACGCTGATGATATGTGACAACAACGAACACAACAGCGTACACGAGCAGAGAGCAACGAGATAACATATTGCATCAAGAAAAGTTCAAATAAGAGAAACTGTTGTGACGAGGAATTTTTTCACACCTAGACCTTGAAGAATCTCGCCCATAAGTAGCAATCAACGAAATTACTTTCACTTCATCAGTCGAAATTTCCTCAAAATTTCCTACACTTCCGTCTGCTTAAACCATCACATTACAAAATGGTATTTGATGCAAGCAGCTAAAGGCTGGGCAGGAGAAATGGGAAGGCCAAGAATTTCAGGGAAAATTGATTTCGATACCTGCTTTAAGTTACTTTCGCCGTAATTTCCACGAAGATTTCGTCTGACCAAGACAACGCTTCAAAGGCGCTACGATGCTGTTAGTCACGAAAGACCACCACGAAGATCTATGAACCCTACTCCCTAGCTTTGTACACTTTTCACTTTTTAAATTGTTCACTTCATATTTCCGGAAGCAAGAAAACTCTTTCTCCACCGTCGACACCAATTCCAAATAAGTCTTTCAACGACTCTCAACAGGTACAAGTCATCTATTATTCAAAAGAAACATTTTGCTGGAAGCAAAATGCCGCGAGCCAACCACAGTTTAGAACTGACATATTAATAAAAAACCTTTATATCGAAGAAGTCTATTGCGGTTGCGAACCTACATGACTTTTAGTGTTCGTAAAAGGGGTCGAAGGTGATCGAATACGAAAGCAATTCAACGAACTGCAGTATCAATTCCTTTGTAAATAAACTCTTTCTGCAAAAGTAAGTGATCTACTTTTTCACACTTTGAACGTCCGACTTGAGCCTTCACAACACGGTTAGCCACTGTTCTCGAAGCCGGAGCAAAATCTAAAGTAAACATTTTCAAGTACGGCGTAAGTTTGAGAATACCTAACTTGAAAGAACTTTAAACGAAGTGTCATCAATTTCTAGTCTGAGCTTTATTACTGAAGACTGATACTTTTTATTCGTTCGACGGCCTTTGTCGACCAACGAAAAACACCTGACTGACCGCTTTCTTTAAATGAGGACGCAAGCTAAAGAGAAAATCCTCTATCAATTGAATTATTAAAATTAAGTTGCCTCAACATTCTCAATTTCATTGTTAAACTCTCTTCCACTGTAAAGATACGCCCATATATCATGTCCAACTGTTTCAACTTAAGCTGCTGTCCAACTCCTCACATAAATAGCGGTAACCAAACTTTCGCTATCACATATCGTGCATCACGTGACGGACAAATCGTATATTTCACACACATTTTCCTCCGCAGTAGTTTGAGTTGAATGTCTTTGTATTACGAAAGTTAAATTAAACATAAATTACTGAGGACGCAATCTGTCACGAGGGTAAAAAAAAAAAAACCAGAATTCAAGGAAAGAGGAAATACACGTTGATCAAAACCTGAAAACCAAACGCAACACTGTAAAGATTATCAAACTGTACGTACTCAAAAAACTTTTTTTTTCTCTATCGAGGGGCAAGATCTCGAAACGTTCTTTCTATTTTGTTGCGGTTTGCCATTTTTGGCTTTCCACCGGGGGAGTCAAGTTTCTTAGCAATTGCAAGCTAAAGCTAACAAAGGACAAGAACCCATCTTAAAATTTCTCGCTGAAAATAATAAACTTGTGACCTTGTCTTCCCTTTACAACAAGACAAATCTGTTTCAAATACGTCCTTGAACCGAGATACACACCATACGCTTTTCATCGAAAGTAATATCTACTTAAACCTTACTCAAATCTTTCCATCAAAAATCTTGTTGGACACAATACATCTTTCTCATAAGGTGCAAAATGGTAAAAACTCATTTAAATGGAAACAAAACAGTAATATGCTTAATGAAAAGGTTCTTACGTTTAAGATGTTTGGACACGAGCCATGAAATAGAGAAATCAACGATAAACCCTCTATATAGAAAAAAGTGACAGCAAAAAAAAGTTTTCCTCACCCTTTCTTTGAAATTTCTTTCCTTCCTCTAAACAAAGTTCCTACCTAAAATAATTTGAGCGGAAAGATGCAACTTTGATCGTCTATCACGTGAACTATTGGGGAGGTTTGGTTGTAAAACTCGCCTTCACCCGTTACATCCGCTTTTCCCGGTTCGAACATTTGAGAGGTATGATAATTACATGAGTTGTAGGCGAGTGCAATAAAACTCTTCAAAGTGGAACCCTTGATTCACATATACCAACTTGCTGTAGAGACAAAGGTGTTTTAAAGGAAATATGACACTCTTAAATTACTGAATTAAGTGATCCATTCAAGCAACACGTTTCAATTCCCTGCTAATAAAGACAATAACGACTTCACTTCCCACACTTTTTAAAACCGTTTTTGTGAAAAACTGTGGACTGATGGTGTAGTCTCATTGTCTGGGAGAGAGAAGACCTAAAAAGGATTGTTCATGTTAGCAATGATGGACATTCCCATAACCTGAGCCTCATCCATAACCAGAGTCAAGTACCTTCACACAGATCATGACTTCCCCTCAGGTTCTCGAAACAACAGTCACTAAAACAGACAACAGTACTTTCCAGGGTAACCTCACCTGGAAGATCAGATGATATGATCAACTGTTTCTCCTGGTTTCAAACCACTGGCTTAATAACTATGATTACAAAAGCAGAACCCTTAGGGTAACCTATTTCTGCCGTGCAAAAACATAGAGAAATCCATAATCCAGGAACCAACTTCAAAAGCCTGTTTTTAAAGAGGTGTGCTCATTAACCCTTTAAATCCTAATATCAGTATACATATTCTCCATACTGTTCTCTATACATTTCCTAAGGTGCTGAAAAGGAGACTTGTTTAACATTCAAGAGCTTCTTAGTTGGTGATCATTTCCTTTATTCTCATGACCTTGATGTGTGATTCAGGAGTGACGTAATATGGAGAAATTAGATTCTAGTGGCTCTTAGGAGTTATGGGTTATGAAATAAATAGATAATCATTTCGAGTCAACTGTGTTGTGATAAGCTAAGATAGTAATGACATGAAAAAATTTCAAAAATGGTTCCAGTATTACCAATTTGCGAGTTGGTTTAAAATAATTTCAAAAAGATTAGCACTTCATAAATTTACAAGGCATAGTCAGATCATCCAAGAGCTACTTTGCAAACAAGATAAGAGAATGCATGTGATAATAGCTTGCACAAGATTAAAGATGCAACTCAGTTTAACTTAGTATGTTCCACACCAAACAATGCTGATGGGATCCTTTTAATATAAGACAAACACCAGCTAAGTAGAAATTCTTCTTATCTTTACTATCAATTCTACATTTTTCCTCGTATTTTTCAACCCTAGATTAGCCATAAACCCTAAAAGCAGTGATATACCCAGGGCTGGGTCGAATTTCTTAATCTCTTTGCAAGTTGCTTAAGCAAATGTTAGCATCAAGATTTATTCCTTAATCATGTTTTTACTGAAAACAGGGAGGAGTACTGCATTCTTGTTGATAAATGGATTTTTGCCCAGTAAATGACAGAGTCAGTTAAATTGGCATGTCACAGGTGCTTTGGCTTTATAAACTTAGCACCAGTAACTGTATTAACTGAGTGAAATTATATATGGATTCTAGTGTTTGGGATTTTAAAATGTGGCCATTGGCTTCATTAATGGGTGAATGCATGAACAAGGGTATTTCACAAGAAATCATATGTCTGTTTTGCCAGGCAATAAAAAGTGGTGGTAATAACAAGTGACTGTATTACTGAGGTAGCTGCAACACAAGGTTCCACTTAACAGATCAGCTAGGGTGTATTGAATCTTAAATCAACATTTCACATGCAGCCTTCCAAGACCTGATACAACAATCACAAATACATGTAATTATTTGTATCAAAAATGAAAATTATAATTCCACAATCTCAGAGGGTCAAGAATTTCTCGTTTAACAAGTACAATGCACAAAAAGTTGATACATTCCAGAACTCTACCATAATCAACGTAACCATCTTTCAAAACACAAGATGCTCGAAACGAACGTGTACCACGAAATAATAATTATCTGATCGAGGTAAAATTTTGCAAACAATTAGGTCAGGAGGGTGATATTTGAAGGGTTCATTCCGACACAATAATTGACTCATCAACCCGTTTATAAGCGAAATCCGCTACCTCGGTGGTCAGTCGAGATTACATCTTACAGAGCAGAACGTATTTGAGTAAAATACGTAAAGAAAACTGATTCAATTAATTTCAACAGGACTTTGATAATTGTGATCCAGTAAATCTTAAGCGGACTCCGATTATTGTGTTCCCATCCCAAGGTCTCGCGTAACTATCTAGAGAACGATTCAAAATAAAAACTGAGAATGTTTACTCACCCAGGGTAATTCCTTCCTCCTTGATTCGTCCCTTTAATACTAATGCCAAGGCATCTTCTGAACCTCTCTCTGGTAGGGAGGCACGAAAAAATGCATTAAAATCCCTGAGATATAAAACATAATGAGCACAGAAAGCGCCGGGGACGCTTTATGTGCATCATTTATCAATTAAGATAACTAATAACGTTCAAAACTAGTTGAAATATCCCCGGAAGAGGGAGTTCTGAGGTAATAGCATCGGCTTCCCACCTATTGCCAGCCAAATTCCACTAAATTTCGCCTGATTTTCTATACAAAGAAAAAAAAAGCCAAGGCTAAAATAATAATAACTGGAAATGCTTTAAACCCTTGGGTATGTACGCAGAACTAACTAAAAACTCGCTCAATTTGATCCAAGATGAATAGGGTCTAAAATCATTATTCGTTGTTTCAGACACATTCCCTTCACAAAGAGAGAGCATCCATCTTAAACTCAACCAACATGGATCACAAAGCTGCAAGGATTTTAGATTTTAAATAGAACAGAAGACGTTCGAAACTGCTTCTGCCTAAGAAACAAAAGAAAATTACAAACCTCACCGCTCTTGCTCCCTCTGTGACGCTGTCACGAGTTTTTCAATCCTTTTGAAATTGAGCCCGCAGTTCAAGTAAACATAAAGCGGTAGTGATGCAAACATAGTAATTTACCCAAGTACTCCCAGGCCTCCCAGGTACTCCTTTGACAGAGCGGTTCTTCTGCACGGATCTCAAAATTTCCGTCTAGAAATGCTAGTAACAAATCAAGCATTACAAAACAGACATAAAACAGTTATGAAAATTAAAAAAAAGCTTTGCCCTCTTCCCAGCCGCGGGAACCATGGGCCGGTTATTCTTTTTATGCTTCCTGTTTTTCAGTGTGCGAGGATAAAGTAAGTTGAAGGAAATACAGTACTTCTCATTTAATTTTTTTTTACTAAAATATACTCAGTTGAACATAGTACAGATTAAGAGCTATGATCAAAAACAAGTGTTATTCAGAATGTTTACAAATTTGAATTCACCCCGCCGCGCCGGCCGCCATCACTTCGACTCCACCCCCAAACCCACCTCAGAAGGACCCTCAGAAGGACCCTCAGAAGGACCCTCAGAAGAAGATTGTGCAGCATAATTTGTCACGTGATCAAATGGTAAACCGATCACAACATATTTCATATTCGTTTAGGCTGCCATATTGTTTTACTGTTTTGAAATTGTCTTGAGGGCCGAGGGAGAGAAACCTGGGAGATCGTGGCTGTTTTGGAATGCTACCGAGACCTTTATATTTCCCAAACCACAGTAGTCATTCAAGGCGACGATCCAGGAATCGTCGGAGTTCACGTCGCCCAAAACCAGAATACGAACGCAACATCTTTTCCGCATTTTTTGCTCTCGCATCGGCTGTGCTTCTTGCAATCGCTGAGGCAGAACCGAAATGGCTTCACATCGTCAGTGGAAAGTGCGCAGGAAAGTACATTGGCTTGTACAAAGTCATTGCATATAAACACCCCGAAGAATTGAGTAAGTTTGAAGTGAAGCCTCAGGAAAACTTGACAAAGTTATTTTGGAAACCCTTTCCAAATGAGGTCATAAGCTTGAACGAAGTCGATCAAAATTGCCACTTCCTCATTTGCTTATTCTTACATCCTTGATCTCTAGTATTATTTTCAAAAACCTATTTTATATCCGATCAGTTATCACAACTGTCTCCACTCATTTTTCTTCAACCGCTGAAATATATAATGCAAGTTAAGCTGTTGAATTGATTAACAATGATTCGATGACCACTTCAATCGCAGCGGGGACGACTGAAATTTTTTTCCTAGCGACCCGTCCTTTTGTCATCCACCAGAAGAAATATTAATGCTAAAAATCAATTCTTTGATTATTACTCTGTTAAATTCAAAATTTTGAATATTTGTTTGATCACAGTCTTATTTAGATATAAATCAACGAAGCTAATTCCAGTTATTTTGGCATGTTATCTCAAATATTTTGATAAGATATGTTCAGATATTTAATTAGTTAATGGCAGATTTTTGGTCGAACAGTAAGAACATTATTTGAGCGGTACGTTTTAAAGTATCTGATATACAACTAATTACGGCTGATCTTGAATAAACGTGTCAAGACTCAAACTTTCTCTTTGTGAGCTGCCAAATGCAGGTTAAATTGCATATGCCAAAGCTGGTATGCTAAGTACAATGGAAAAAAGACATTGAGAATTCAAGATGTGGATGTATTTGAGCTAGATATAGTCCATGTTGGCACTCAATTAAACTTCTGTCTGCTGTGCTTTGCAAATCTAACATCAAGCATATAGTGGTACTGCAAGTTGCTGCACAACAGCCAGTTGAGGTAAATCTGTTGCCTCTGTACTGATGCTGTGGCAGTCATTTATACTTGTGTCTTGTGCCCCATGTTGTATATTGTTAAGAGCATTGGACTCCAACAAATATCACCACAAAAAGAGCATTCTTGTCCTAAGGCTCTTCTTTTATGAAAATGGTTAATTAAATCATTTATACTTGAGTTGCAGAAGGTGAGAATACAATCGTCATAATCAGAGCATGTGATTGCAAGTATACACACTATAAAGCATGATTTAAAAGGAATTTTGTGATCTAAATTTAGTCTTTCAACTTGAAGAAAAGTAACCAATTATTTTAAAATGAATGTTTGTGGTTTGCTTACTTACTGAAAAGGGACTCTGAAAGTTCTTAACTGTTTCAAGCTACCTCATTTGCAGTAAATTTTGCATTCTTATCCTTTAAGAAAACAGTGCTAGAATTTTTCACTTTTACTTACTTGTTTTAGATCTTTACCTCTGGTTTGATGGGAATTTTTTTTTTTGGTATCAGTTTTTGGTATCAGTTATCAGTTTCTTTTAATTTTGGGTAAAAGATGTTCCTAGTTTCTGATTTTACAATGATGCTTGTAAAATTTTAACATGTGCTATCACCCCTGTAATGTTTGTACATATAAATGGAGAGGATTGAATTCTTGGTTTCTCAGCAGTTTTCCAAAGGGGATGTAGTGTGTTTGGTGCAGTTTCAGTCCTCTGTTAAATTTAGAATCTTTTATTGTTTTTCACAGCTTCATACTGTTATACAAGCACCATTGTACTTCTCTTACGACTGGTTGTTGCCCTGAGTTGTGTGGGAATTGTGTTTAGCATGTTTGCCTGTTTGCTGGATTTGTGTGGCACATTAAACAGATGTCTTAGAGTAGTCAAGGATTATTCTATTGGAAACGTAGTTACAGGTATGAATCACTGCCTTGTGTTGCTAATTAAGAAAGTGTTACTGTTCAGTTGAAATGTGTGGTGTTATTTATCTGATGACAGACTTCCAAACAAACTAATGCACAGTATTCTTATCATAATTTTTTTCTTGATGTCAAGGTAAGGAAATACTTGATGTCTTGAAGGCATTAAAACTTTGTTGTATGGTTTCTGTTGTTCTTTGTGTATCCTTGTTTATTTGAAAATATTTTTAAAGTATTGACAATGCCGTTAATCACAGTCATGACTATTAATTACAATAGTGAAGATGAAGAAAAAATTGACAATTCATGATATCATGCAAAAACCAAATTCATGAATTGTTTTATTACACATTCTTTAGTGCCCCTGAGACGAAAATTGACCTTTTTATTTTTGCCCAAATTGTTTACACAATGTCAAATTGGGTCAAGTTAAGACCCTTTTTGCCATTAAAAACTCAAAACAAACCTTCGATGACCAATTTTTACCGCTTCAAAGTCGTCCAAAAATCGTCCGCCATTGCTGAAAACATGTTCCAGCCGAGCCCGCAAAAACGTCATCATGACGTCAAAGGCTCAACAAACTTATGCTTTGCTTTGTCACAACTCTCTTTGTTCGCTGCACAGAGAATCACACATATTACTTTTTTGAGAACTGTTTCGTTGTCAGTCGGGAAATGTCGACTTTTTCAGACGATGAATTGTCCCAGAAATCATCTGAAGCTTCTGTGGATAGTTTTGCGCCGACAAACGATGAATTTTTGCCATGCGAATAAAGATAAACACAGAACGGCACGGACTCCCCATGTGGCTTTTGTGGTCGCATCGCTTTATCTATTTTTCACTATTGGTGCTTTGAGAGGTTTGAAGTGAACTCTGTTGTTGAGTTGCACTTTGGCCTCTTGTTTTTTCTGTCTTATTCATGATGACTATTGTTGTGTTGCTTGGGTGAGGTTTAAAGCAGAGTTTGTTTCTACTCTTTTAGAGCCGTGACCTCATTGCGTTACAAAGTATTTTTTGCAGTCTGCAAGTAGTGTTATGACAATTTTCCAAGTAGCTCTTTCGCGTTGAGATTTTCGCGTTGAGCCTTTGACTTCACTTCCTCTGAGTCCTGCGATCAACTTCTGGAACATGATCAAATAATGGCGGATGCGAAATCGTGAATTTAATGGCCCGAAAAAAGATATTTCTGGTGCTTCGTCTAAACTGAAACTTGGCAGAGTAGGTGAAGGTGACACACTGAACACGAAAATGGAAAAAAATGATGTACGAAAATTTTGATCTCAGGGGCACTTTAAACAATCTGCAAAAGAAGAAACTTTTCTCTAAATTTGCAAAAGTATGAGAACACTACACTGACAAGGGGCTTGGAAACTACACTTTGAACTTAACATAATAAATGCAATATCTGCTGCAGATAGTGCATTTATCATGCCAATTTTACATGCTATTGTATGTTGATCAAATGCTCTCAACCAATCAAATTTTTTTAATGTAAGTCTAATTTATAATAAAACTCATGGGTAAACAGTAATTTTCAGTTGGTATTCAATTTCTCTGCAGTTGTGATGTGTGTTGCTACAAGCATTATTGTTTACTGGGTGACACGGATACTAGAAGAAGTTGGTGAAGAGGACCCAAATGATCCTGCCAAAGTTAAATTTGACATCAGTTTTTGTCTTGTGGTAGCTGCAGGAGGATCATCAGTACTGGCAACTGCTTTGAGTTTAGTTATGCATTGTTTTCTACATCGCATGAGAGAAAGAACTCGATCAGAGGAAGAGCTATCTCTTGACCTGATGTATTCCATGTTACCTGCAGACAGTATCTCAGATGTTCCACCTCCTGCATACTCACCCTGATCATCACAATTAGCCAACTGAGTCATACAATTATGTAGGTAGAATAATAATAACAGTTACATGTAGATAAGGAAGTGAAGTCTGAAATTCTAACAGGACATTGGTGTTAGTTTTCAATTTTTCACAAATTTTAATCACTAAGTTCAATTTTTTCATTCAAACAGCATGCGTTGTTTCCTTGGTCATCTAGTGTCTTGAACTGTACCTTATATACCTATCAATTTGAAGCTTCAAAGCCCCCCTGGGAAGGGAAGCAATTTGATACTGGAACTGTCAAGTCTTTCCAGTAGAACATTTGTTTTATCTTTTAAAATGGATTAAAGGTAAAGAGTTCACTTTTGTGAACAGATGGCTTAGAAAAAAAAGTCTCCAAGAAAGACGTGGTGGCTGATCTTGCCTTTTACTAAAAAAAATTGATCCTCAAATCAGGCACTTGGGTGGGGCATTTGAACACTATTTCAGTCTAGGGGGTGGTAATTTGAACAAACCGATCTTCAAAAGTTCAAATGCAGGGAGGCTTGCTCTGGTTGGAATGGGGAGGGGGGAATGCTGAAGCTTTAAATTGATTGATGCATCAGCAGGAGGTAAATGGTTGCAAATCTTGAAAGAAAATAAGTGTTGGTTTTTAAAGTGAAGGTCATCCAGTCTTTAAATTTTCCTGTCACTGAATGAATGGATGATTAAGAACTTTGACAGAGGTATTTGGAAAGTAAACCATTTGATTTCTGTTTGTGACCTAAAGCTGATAAAAGTCTGCTCTGACACATTTTTTGATTCCACTTCCTTAGTTTATAACATTTTGAGCAAAGTTGAAATTTGAATTGACTAGCTTTACAAGGCATAGTTTAAGAAACTTGTTACCAGACCATAGAAAATCCAGCTGATCATATTACACAAATCAAAGCAGTTTTATAATCAACGGTATCAAATACAGCCTTCCCAGTGTGTGCTACAATTAGGGTTATGGTTAAATGTGATAAAACTGGTGGGTTGGAAAATCCAGAGGGAAACGATTGGTATCATAAAAAAATTCAAAAACATTTCTGCAGAAAACTCATTAAGTGATTAGCAGCTTACTATGAAATGGCAAACTTGCAATTTTTATATATTTTTGGTGAGCAAAAAAGGTGGAACTCACTAAAATGAACAGTCGTATAACAGCTCCAATTTCTTGTGATTCCTTGTATTGAAGCTGGGATTCTAATGGACAGGATAATTAAATACACTGAAAAGGACACAAATGTGACAAATATTTGTAGAAAATGTGAACCCATTTATTATTCAAGAAAGACAAGGTGTACAGATGTAGTATTTAGTGAATTTTTGAGACAGTTTGTGTATTCATAGTTTGCAAATGAATTAGACCCAGGATCACAAGATCGTTTAGGTGGTTAAGTTAATTTTTATTTCTCATAAATTTAACAAGTGCTTATGAACTAGCTTTTGCATTGCAGTGGGCATCCGAATGTTAATCTTGAAAACATTCTTATTAAGCATTTAGAGAATGGTTGGTCACACATTGCTGATTTTTGAATTTGCATGGTGTCTAAACCAAACTTCTTTGTCATTTTCTGGATCATAGGTACCTGTACCTTGCATGTGGCTTAACATGAGTAGACTGCTGGCTAGAGGGGGCAAAAATTTGAGGATGTGTTAGGTATCTTGGTTTTATCACCTAATTATGAAAGTATTTATGTCATGATGGGTGACGCACTATTCTGTCTTTCAGTGATCCTCTAGTTATGTGAGCTTTTTGGCTTCCCTTGTTGAATTGTTGTCTCTTTTTCTGGCATTACATTTCATTCCAGTTCAGGTTTTTCTGGTTTTAGGTTTGTTCAACTCTGGTGCATTGTATCTTCACAAGGCTTTGCCAGTTAAAACCTTCTTACACATCTTCCAACAATTTTGTGGTTGACCAGGATCTGTAAGGTAGAAACAAACACACTCAGAAAACACAGTATTTTTCCTTATTTCTGGTCATTTGTTCTCAGCTCCCAATAAGTGTAACTCCTATTAGCTTCAACCTTCCTTTACATTTTCAAGAGCTAAAGTCATTTTGTTTATGGAGAGTATTATTTCTGACCTTTTTGTATTGCTGTTAGAAAGCTTTTGGCTTATGCGAAGTAAACATGCAGCTAGCTTGTACAGTATTTTCAGTTCATGACAAGTTCTTGGTGTTCAAGAAAGTGATGTTTGTTTGCATGCTACAAAATTATTTTTGTATGAAAAGAAGACTCCTATCTTAGTATTTTCTGAAGTTTGCAGATCAAGTATAGGAAAAATCTGTAATTTTTTTTAAAGTTACAGGAATGAAAAAATGGAGATGCAGTCCATGATAAGGAAAAAAATTCCTTTCTGAAAACAAGACACTTTGATGACAATGTCTTCTGTAATAAATTGTAATTTGTAGTACTAGCATGCTATTGCAGTGCTTATAACATACATATTTCTGTACATAGCTCAATAAAAATAAACTGGCACCTTTTTCATTCAAATTAAGTTTATTGTAATTTCCTGGGTGATATTACTTTCATTAGTCCCTGAATTTAGAGTAAGTTAAAAACTTTGTTCAAACTTGTCAAAGGGCTGAGATAGATAGGTGCTTATGGTTTAATTTGTAACCAAGTGGCCCCCACCAAGCCAAGCTGGAGCTTACCATGGTTTCTGGGTCCTAGCATGAAGCCACGAGGAATATAACTACTCCCTCCCTGGGTGGGATGCTAGTTCATCCTAACATTACCCACCTGTATTTCATCAAGTTTCCCTGACAATTTGTTAGTACCCTTTTGTACTCCTGGGTGGAATAAGGCATTGTGAGGGTAAGGTATTTTGCCCAAGAACACAACACGTATTGATCCAGCCCGGTCTTAAAACCTGGACCTCTCAACAAAGAGTCATTTCCATCCACAATTTCTGTCCACATTTGATCCACCCCAATACCTTGTTCACAGTCCTTCACATGAATGAGCTAAAAAAAATTAATGATATTACAAAGTGAAGTGGTTCGAAAATTATGACCAGAGAATTGATTTTAAGCACAATATAGCTTGTCAAAACTAACAAACAAGCTATAATTTTCAACATTCAATGAAAAGAAGGAAAAAATAGTTTCCTCCTCCTCCCAAGGGAATGAAAGGAAAGATGACCGTTTTGGGAGGGGAAGGGGTGGTAACAGATGAGTTGAGAGAAGAGGAGATCTGGAAAAGAATTTCCCAACGAGGGCGCATATGGCGCGTTACATACAAAGTGCGATAGCTTACATCATAGTTGGATACATACAACATTGAAAGGACACGACGTACCCATGATCTATAATATGGCTCGTCTCAAAGATTACGACTGCATCGGCTTTGATCTTGATCACACGTTCATTCAGTACAGACTTGATAATCTTTATCCGGTAAGTCATCGAGTTGATAGTCGAATGAGGTACTCGATTTGTATGGGTCTCAACTAGCTTGGCTTCAAGTACTTATTGTATATTTAGTTGACAACTAAGACAGTCCTCTTGTTGTAGATGATATACAGTTGTTTTGCGCAAGTCTTAGTGAAAGAAAAGGGGTACGATTGTAGCTTGCTGGAGGATAACTTTGAAGATTTCAAGGATTTCTGGTACGTGTTAGATCGCAATGGCCTTCCATTTGTAACTTACGCCTGTGATTTAAAAAACATAAACGCGTATAAACTGAGTATTTCATTATCACAAATATGGCGAAGCGTTGATGAAAAGAAAACCGCGGTCAGATGTACGTCCTCGTGTCTCCGACTTCTTTTTGTTTCGGTAGTGGTAGTGGGTCGGTGAGTACCGACTACCGACTACCGAAACAAACGACACCGCAACCCCTACGACTACAGCAACCATACCGTACATAAAAGGTATGTCTGAAAACATCTCGCGCATCTTACTACCCTTCAATATCCGCGTCGCCCACAAACCCATCACCACACTACGTCACTTACTAACCAACGTTAAAGACAAAGACGAACCGAGGAACAGACAGGGAACGATTTATAAGATCAATTGTTCCGACTGCCAAGCCTCCTACATCGGTGAGACTGGCAGAAACCTCACAACAAGACTGACTGAACACAGACGGGCGACGAGGAAAGGTGATGTCAGCAATCACATTGCTGAACACCATCGACTTACCAACCACAACATTGACTGGGACTCTGCGCAATGCCTAACCTACAGCACTGACTATTTTCAACGACTGACTCTGGAAAGCTGGTTTACTAACTTAGAACAGACTCCCCTAAACAGATGTCAACAACTACCCGCCCCATACAAACGACTCATTCACGACATAAACATCACAAACGACCGAAAAAGAACAACCTAGCTTTACCAACAGACCGAAACAGACCAATCACGATCGACTTACGTCACTTGAGTCTTACAGCCAATAACATCACGGCAAAACCAACCGATCATTTCACACGAACTGGAATAAGAACATTCTACTGACAACAATCACTCACTTGACTCTGATGATGACTTCCGCACAGGTTGTCGAAACGTCAGTCACTGCCACCGACAACAGTCCTTCTCAGGACTACACTCACCCGGACGATCAGACTACACCTTCACATGTTACCCCCGGGTTCAAACCATTTACTGCAAGGTTTCTCTGCTTCTTATATAGATTCCAGTTGTCATCAGTAGCATTTCTCTTAAATTTCCTGAAAAGTATGTTATGCCTGGAGATTGCAGAAGAGATTTCGGGAGTAATCCAGGGCAGTTGATCGCCTCTGATGTATTTCTTTTTGAAAGGCAAATGCTGATCAACAATGGTACCGTAATAAACAGACGATGCCAGTGCTCATAAATATCATCAGTGTCATCATATATGTAGGCTGAATCCCAGGGGATCTTGCCAAGATCCGCTACATAACTATCTCTATCGAATCCCTTCATACTCTGGTATTCAATGACTTTTGGTGGAGGTCGAGCAATTTTCTGCTTACGAATAGTGTAGATCAAGTCATGGTCACTGAGGCCTAGTTTCATTGTTCCACTTAAAGCAAAACGTTCCGGGTTACTAGTAAGGATGAGATCAATCAGTGACATAGAGCAGTTAGTTGTGCGAGTAGGTTCAGTAATTGTATTAGTCATACAAAAACAGTTACAAAACTCAGACAGGTGAGGATCTGGTTCAGAATTTCCAGCAGCAAGCATGTTAAAATTCAAATCACCAATGATGAGCAGCTCATTTCTGATGTTGTACAAAGTTTCAGCAGTAGAATATAATGATGGAAGAAAATCACTTGGCTTGTTTATTGTTGGAGACCTGTAGCATACTAGGACAATGAATCTTGAGTTGTTATGGCCCTTTACTTCGATACATATAGACTCCATACCTGATGGTTCCAGTTTTGATCTCCTATATGCAGACACACTGTTCTTGATGTACAGCAACAGGCCACCACCTCCCTTTTTCCATTCCCGCCTCAGCATCCTATAATGTGGGTGTTGCAGGAGAGAGTTATTATATGTAGAGTCTAGCTTGGTTTCCGAGATGGCTAGGATGTGAAATAGGCCTTCATTTAGTAATAATTTAACTTCATCAATCTTGTTCCAGATGCTATTAATGTTTAGGTGGGCGATAGACATGTTGTACTTATAATAAGACAGAATGTTCGTCTTGTAATTGGCTATTTCATCCACTTGAGGTTCGTCCATAGAGTCCAGGAAGGAATCAATAGAGGTATTAATCGTAGAGTTCAATGTTGTATTTGAGAATGGAAGAACTGATGATAAGCAGGGTGGACAGATCCAGCTAAAGTCATCCATCTGTTGGAATTCTCTGTACTGCTTTGGAGTAACATCACCACACTTCATGTGGCACCATGAGTCGCAGTGGTCACGGCTCAACGCTCGATGGTTTCGAGCAACAGTTTTGAGGCAAACAGTGCACTTTTCGGGTCCTAGATTAACACTGATTTCACCACTAACAATCAGACGAATTAGGTGAAAACTGCAGTTCGAATTTGAGTGGTAGTTGACTCTTAAAGCAAAGTATCCTTTACCCCGAGGGAAGGATCCAAGATGGCGAACATGCTTCCAAAGGCAGGCTTACTTATTCAGTGATGGCATTCCTCCTGTGTCGCCAACAGATTTTGACCTGGTGTGTTTTGGACCATTCCAAAAGCCTTTCAGTGTATTTTCACTCACATACGATAAAGTAAGCGCTAGAAAAATAAAAAATAGTCGGGAGCAAGGACAAGCTCGACTTCGCGCCATGCTGACCGCTAAGTCAAGGTTGTAGTCATTTCTCCATTTACCACAATCTGTATTGGATGGAAAAACTGTCTGAAGGATAAATATGCAAATTTTTCTTCAGGTATCTGTTTAAGACAAGTTTCCTTGTGCTTGCAGAAAGGGTGTTGACAAGAAAGGCATACTAATTGTTGCTCAGTCACGCATGCCGCCTTCTCACTAAGACTGCTGCTTGACTTGTAGACCAAAGGAATCTAAAGGAAGTGGGTTGTTCAAAATTGACTGAGTTTGCTATCTGTTTCTTTATATTTCTACTGTTTGTCTTTCTTGTGGACTCTCATAGGGTGGTCTACTTGTGTAGTTGACTGACAGATCACCAAGGGTTGATTGACAGTCAGCTGATAATCAGTGGATAATTGACTAATAAATGTTAGCTTTTGTCTTGGTTGAGATATGAGCTGATTGCTGGGATGTTAAGACATCCCATTACTGTCCGTCAGTGAGTATTGTTGGTGACCGGCCAACTATCTGTCAACGATACACTGTCACCCATTGACTGTCCAACTATCAACCGATATACCTGTGTCAGTGCCTTAGTCTTACAGTCTTGAAAATGTAACAAAATTGCTTTGCAAGATGCATGGCAGTCTAATCAAGTAGACAACTCTTGTGAGTTTTGTTTCTCTTCGGGAGAAATTATTGCACCAGTATTTAAAGGAAATATGTTACACACAGTTGAATTCTGTTCACTTATTTTTGTCTGAATAAGTTTTGACTTGATGTAATAATAAACTATATTGTATGTGGTATAATTACCAATTTTGGATTTACTGGGAGAAGAAGGGTTGCTCCTCTACTCTACCTCCCAAAATAAACCCTATCAATGCAGCCATCTGTTTCTATTTTCCTTGGTAGGAGAATGGAAACTGTTCTCGGCAACAAAAACAAGGACATTCATGTACCATAATAGTCTCCCAAAATCTAAATTTCCAGCATTATCTTTTATGTTGTATCCAACCTGTACCAGCTGGTACTTTTGAAGTAAATATGAATATTATTGTGTTTATGTAATGAAGTTCAGCTCAAGAAAGTGTCTGACAAGAACTAAAGGATTAACAGCTCCAATAATATTTTGATTAAAAATTACATTAGTTACATATGTTTTACTCTTTCCATCAGGTTTTCTACTTGTTCCCTTTTATCAGGAATCTCTCAACAATTAAATGATTCTTGAAAAGTGATGTCTGTCATTCTCAACCTAATGGTATCTTTCTTTGGCAACTGACCTCAGAGTATGTTGTGTACTGGTAAATTAAAGTTGGATTACAGTCTGCTTATTAATAAGTAGACTTGTAATGAAACATATCATTTAACTACCAACATGGTTGGCTGTATTTCATCAATTTTTCAGCTTGAAAGGTTTGGTCCTGGATACCATAAAGGGAAATATTTTAAAACTTGGAGTAGATGGCATTATTTTAAGGTGGGTAAGAGTTACAGTAATGTTCTTAACTATATGAGACAAAATTAATGTATGAAATGGGATTAGTGAAATGTGATGCAAACATGTTAGTGACATATATGTATCACTGGCCACTAGAACAAGTTTTAGAATACATTATGATGCGACTCTAAAAAGATGTTATATTAATCAATGTTTCTTTATCTCAGGGCTTCACATGGTACTCAGCAGTTAACAAGGAAAGAGATTACTGATTATTATGGGGAAGAACAAATATGGCCAAAGTTTAGCAACCTGAAAGAAAATCCTATTCAGCATTGTATGTTAAAATGTGTATCAATCTTGTTTTTAATGAAACCAATTGGTAAAATTGCTGTACTAGCTACCAGAAGGATCAAATATAAGTCTTTGGTTGCACTATAATTACTGTGTGGAGAAATAGTTTGCCTCTTGTCAGAATGAACTGTAGTCTGTCACTTTCTCCTGATTGCATTTGGGCACACTAGCCAGTAATGGTTAAACAAACCCACAAAAACATGACTTTGTATGTGCATAATTTACCAAGAGATTTGTTTTTAGCACTGCCCATTATCTCATGCAGTGAACAACATAAAACAGAACATACCTCTAGGGGCTTAGAGTCTGAGAAATATCCATATTTAAATCAACATTTGCTGACTCAAATTTTTGACGGGAAATTAAAAATGAAATGGAAAAGACTGAAAACAAAGTGTGTACGTGTAATCTCAGGTATGTGATATATATTCGAGCAAAATGTAAGTTTTAGTGCTCTGACCCTCACAAGATTATAGAGTTTAAATTTTCAGAGTGTTGGGCTATGAACACTATGAGTGATAGTTCATTGGTACAAAATGTCGCTAATTTGTAGATAGCAGGAAAGTATGAATGACAGTCAATGTCAAAAGTGTGGGAATTCAATACTCCCTTATATTATATCAATTCCTCACATGTATAGTGTTCATATTTTGATATTAATCTTTTACCATCTAAGATTGACTGCATGGGATCTAATTTCTCCTTATAGCATCACTGCTATATCAAACTTCAAGGTCATGAGAAAAAAGAAAAAGATCACCAACTTATTTAAAATGGGAAGCTTTTGATTATTTAACAATTTATCTTTGTCAGTACCATAGGAAATGTCAAGGATTGGAGAATATGAATAAAGATTGTCAGTGCAGTTCTGTAGTTTTTAAAGAGTAGAAATCTTAGCAATCAGTGTCTTCCAAAAATACTAATTTATTAACTTGAGTCATTTCTTTTCAGCCAACATATTCAGAGTGTTTGAAAATTACTTTGATCTTCCAGTGATGGTTATATGCGCTCGTATCGTTGACACAATTGACAAAAAGGTAAATTAGATTTTGTTCATATTTAAGAAATCTATTAATATATTTTATTAGCATTAATAGAGTTGTCTTTAGAACCACATGCATACTCTAAAAATTCACTTTGTGTTGATGAACATGTTAAGTACCTGTTTAGCCTGGCAAAGAGGGACAGTTTGAATCACCCCTCTGATGAAGGAAACATTCCAAGTTGTGATGTTCAGAATGTCAATGTTCAGACTTCTACAGAGCAGTGTTGTTAAAGAAATGGTATCCTAGTAAACAAGATATTTGTGGATGGTATTACAGTCAAAGGCTGGAAAAAAGACTTATTATTTGTTTAAAAACCTTATCGGTTTCAAGTTTAAAAAGACTACTGCAAAGAATTAGAACCATTATACAGCAGCCTGACTCTGAAATGTCATATGTTATAGGTTCTTATATGGTGATGTTTTTTTATTCAACTCTTTTCTAGTTAAAAACAAGGGTCAAGTGCTACCTCTCATGTTTGATATATTACAGAGTCAAACTAAATTATTTGTACATTTGATTATCATTTTGTAAATTTTATTGTTTTCACAGTTTACCAAAAGCATATTTAATTATTTAAATGTTTGTAAAATGTTGATCATTTTGTCTCTTTTTCAACACTCAGTTTAATTTGACATTGAAAGTGATATGTGACATTATCTTTATTTACTAGTCTCCATTTCTCTTCTGTTAGTTTGGAAAACCAAAAGAGTATAGTTTTTGGCCTGATATAATATCCTCTTTACGGATAATTTTTAATCCATCATCATTTAAAATTGGTGAGTTATTTCAATGAATTACTATTTTTAAGATCGAGGTACTCAACCCATGAATAAATAATTGCTATGTATAATTATTATCTAGTGGCCTGCATCTTTTGCCACAAAGTTACTTTAATGAACTAGTGAATTGAAAGCAATTCATTAGGATAGACCTGTTTTTGGTTGAAACTTATACCTGTAGGTGATCACGCAGAAGGTGACTAAAAGTCAATAGTATGAAGTGTTTCAAGATTTCAGTAAATACCCTTGTGTCAACAGTTTTGAGGAACTAAATTTCTTCATAGCAACATTTTATTGTCACAAATACCCCAAAGGAAGGATTGTGTAAAATAAACCTTTAACTCCCAAGATCTGAATGATAATTCTCCCCTCTAGCTGCCACACATTTCATTGTAAACTAGTTGTGAGAATTTGGTGCTAAATCAAGATAACAACTTCTACCTGATAAGTTTTAGTATTCTCATCATCTGTTTGCTGGATAATGTATGAATATTTAAGGGAGAAGTTACATGTTAATCACTTAAGAGAGTTTAAGGGTTAAAGTTGTGGTCATTCAGAGACATCTGAATTTGTTCTCCTTTCTTTTCAGACAAACAAGAACAGTACTTTTACAACCTGAAGAGAGATATATCCAAGTTTGTAAAACCTTCAACCCAGAAAATTATTAACTGGATCAAGTCAATGAAAGAGACACAACAAACAGTGTTCCTTCTTACAAATTCAGACATAGATTATACAAATCTCCTTATGAATTATGCAGTAGGGTAAGTGGATCAAAAACAGTTTGCCAAAATTCTCAAATTATTCATTATTCTAATTTATACTCCATTGGCTCTGACAGATTTTAACAAAAGTATGCCATTTGATTTGTGCTGTATGTGGCTAAGAACTGAGCCAATTTTTAGAAAATAATTAATTTGAAAGGAAACGGGATAAATCTCACTCAAAAAATCTTTTTTTTTTTCTTTTTTCCAAGAAAATATTATCTGTCAACTTCTTTTTCAGGTGTAGAAGGCCTGTTGGTATTATGGGCATAATTGCTGGAAACCCTAGAGTCCATTGTATAAAACTGTGTTGTCTTACACTGTTTTGATACACCTTCAAGATAACAATTATAATAATTTATGAAACTGTTTGTTTTGCCTGTTGACATTTCTGATGCTTGCACATGGGGCATGGGGAGGACGCAATCTCTAATTGTATTTAATATACACCTGGTTTAGTTAACTTTTTAAATGTTTGTTTGTTTGTTTTGGGTTTATTGTACTTTGTTCCTGACAAATTAAAGTAATGTAATCAACTTAGTTTTTTCATTAGATAGTAATTTATTGCTTCAAAACAGCCTTTCCTTTTCACACTGAATTTCTCCTGTGTTGTTCTCCACTCACAACACTATTTAATCATAAATGAGAATTTATTAATTTATAAGTATAAAATTGTTCCTCTGATCTTACAAAATATTCTGTTTCAGAGAGCACTGGCCAGAGATGTTTGACATGGTTGTGTGTGCTGCAGGCAAACCAGGTTTATTTTTGTCAACATTATATATAATTATATTAGCACTGTATATTTTATCTCCAGTAAGTTGTGATTAGTTTTTTACATGTTCTTTTACTTGTCTTAGTTGTGGAGGGAAAGAGAAGTTGCTTCCATTAAGTTTTACCATTATTCTGTTACCTGAGAGTTTACTGTGTTACATTGTACAATTACAGAAGCATGTTAAATGTTTCTTTTTGTTCTTACAATGTGTTTATTATTTTATTTTTCAGTACATTAAATAATTTTTTTTTTTTTTTACTTAAAAAGGATTTTTCAAGTCAGAAGAGCCACTCGTCAAGTTCCATGAACTTGGTAAGATGTTTTCATTAATAACTTTTTTGAGTGTTTGGTTTTAACATTGAACCTTACTTGACAGACTCATAGACAGACTGGCGGTTTGAGGCCAATCAAAGCCACTTGATAGTAATTTGCATGAAACAACCATTGTTACTTGTTGCTTAAAAATGAAATGTCCAGGATTAATTCCTTTTTATTAAATTAAGTTTTATCCCAATTAAGCAACTATTTTGTTATGTTAGGTTGCTGAATGGTGATTTTGAAAATTTTGGGCTCAGGGTCTGTTTATTTTTTAAAAAATATCATGTTTATCCTAGTCACTGTATTGTTTCTTAATTTCTGGAACGGTGCTCTTAGATGGTGAAAAGGAAGTTTGCCCTGTTCAAGAGCTACAAGAAAACAAGATGTATAGTAAAGGCAATCACAAGGATTTAACCATATTTCTGCAAAAGCAGACAAACCAGGATAAGCCAAAGGTGATTGTAATTACTACTAACAGTAGCTGTAGTTGTACATGTACATTTAGCTTAAGCTTACTGATATCAAACTTCATAAGACAACCAAAATAACATGTTCCCAAGTTCCTAATTGAAGTAATGAAGCTCCAAAACCAGTGACCCGTGGCAGAATTATATTTAATAATGGTGCAACAAAATCTCCTCAAAGGTGCTTCTGAAGTCTCTTTCTGAAACACATCTCACTACACCGACAGTGAATTCACTTTCTATCAATCTGTGAAAACATGCTTGATTTGAAGAAAATTGTCATTGCCAATTCACTTTGTTGCAAAATTGATGACAGTTGGTATATCACCCTTTTTGTCACTCTTTTATACAACACCTATAGGTCTTGTATTTTGGAGACAGCATCAGATCAGATATGTATCCATCAGTGGTCTTTGGTGATTGGAATGTTGTCACTGTGCTAGAAGAGATGGAATCTGAAGGAATGGTAATATGTCAAGATCAGGTATTTTTTTATCCTGCTTCAGGATGCAAAAAATAGTTGCTGATTGAAAGAGTTTTTAGTTTAGGCCAGTTCTGTAATGGCTTACTGGTACATGTGATTTATAGGTTTCAAATAAATATGCATTAATTATATTTGTAGCACTCTGCCAGGTATTTCTCAGTCACCAACCTGGAAAACTAAATTTTAAGTCAGTGAATTTGACTGTTGTGGCCTGCTTCTTTGTATTGATCCTTGCCAGAAAATGCAGTGATTTCACAGAAGAGATAGGTTAGCTGATGTTCATTGCAACTAACTTTATACAGCTTAGCTTAACTCACCAATCTGTTCTGTAAAAAAGCAGTGAAGTTTTAAGTTCAACAGCTACACTTATGAGTTCTTATGGTATTGTCACTTTAACTTGTTACATTCTCAGTACAAGCCAAGGTTTCTGCCATACGTAAAACAAATTCAATAACATGTATGTACAAGTTTCAAAAGAGTGATTGTTGTTGTTTTGAAAATGTCTGCATCAGGAGAATTTTCTTGAAGATGGTCCAAATTCCAAGAAAGCAAGACTGTCAGTGCATGTAAGTTGAATAGTAAAAGCCACTATTAAATAATATTTTTTGGCTGAAATTTAATAAAGCCTTGAACTATATTGGGTGACAAAAGTCTTAGAACGTTCTACTTTACCTTTCGAATTTTTTCTACAACTTTTATTTATCTGGCTCCCTCTCACCCACTTCAATGTTGTCTGGTGCTGACAAAGTGCTTAGACAGACAACTTGAGTTGGGGGAAAGGAGAGACTATATGGTAAAATTATTAGAGATAAATTAAAAGATTTCAGTTTATTATGTTGATTGGAGCGTTGTTGACCGCATAATAAGGGGAGGTGTGCCATCTACTTTTGCCAGGCACTGTTACAGTAGGTGTACAGACCAGAGCAGAGTCAATAGACTTTGCTCCCTAAGAATGTTGTGAGGTACAGATGTATGACATTTCAGTGTCTGTATCCCCCAATAGGACTTGGAGATTGAAAGCTGCAAGGAAGAGGTTCTGTTGTCAAACCAGTGGGGTTCATTCTTTGTGCATGCTGATACATGTCAAGATAAAGTCATTGACTGTAAAGCAGATAGAGATCATGGCCTTGAGAAAAAATGTGGAAGGAAAGAAATGAACACTTTCTGTGGAAATTTGATACAGAAATATAGCACTTTTGTAATTCCACGGCTAGACTTCATTACAGGTTAGTGTGATTTGTGTTCTCTGCTTTTCTTTTTACATTCAGTCATACTTTGCAGACCATTTGAATCTGTTAACAGTAGTTCTAACAGAAGATGAAAAGCAAATACACATATTTCAAATTATAAACCTGAGAAAGGTAGACTAAAAATTTAACCCTTTAAATTCCAAAATACATGAACACCTAACCCTTCTGTGATATCCATACATTAACCAGCAAACTGGTTATGAGAATACTCAAACATAATAGTTATCTCAATCCAACACCAAATTCTCATAACTAATTTATGAGGTTATGTGTAGCTTACCTGCAAACAATAGCTTTGTGATGATGTATGGCCAAGCTTCAAGAACACATTGTCAAATACTGCTATAATTACAATTTTTTTGTTTGTTTCCTTAGAACTGCCTCTGGACTATACATTTGAAGCCTTCAGTCCCTCAAAGGGAGGTTTCTATCCTGGAAGTCCAAAGTCACTTCATTCATGACAAAAGGATTAATGTTTCTTAACCTTTGGTATGCATGTAATTCTCAATCGTGTACTCACTCCTCATGTGTCCATTGTAGTTTCTGGTAATCTCTGCTGTTTTGGGCTTGCTTTGCCTTTACTATTTGCAATGTATGTGTAAAATGTTCATATTTCCAAATATTTAGTGGTGTAAATTGACCATATTTCAGTCCCCATACTATTCCTTATAGCATGTTCAAATTCTCAGCAGTTCCTCACTTACATAACACCGTGTCGCACAATGCTGACACTTTCATGCTCACTTCTTCTCAAGATGTGAGCTTAGGACGCCTGTGCTTTGATGTTAAGGCTGGAATCAACATAATTAAAAAATGAAAAATTATTTGACATCTTTCTGTACCAATCAGAAGTCAAAGCCAGGGATGCAAAGTGACTAAAAGTGTTCATGGTATGCGTAGGAAAAAAGGACAAATTCAAAATGAACTTGTCAATAAATGACCTATGGAGTGCACTTGTTGTCATAAATGTTGAAGGAACTTCAGATACCACAACCAACACACTCCCAGGGACATACAATGACACTTACTCTTCACTGTGACTGAATTACCTCACAAGGTGTTTTATATCAATTTTTAATGCAGTTACAGCATTGTCCCAATTTTCATATAGTGCACCATAAATAATCAGACTAGAAAAATATAATATTTGTGTCACAAGTGTAAACTTAAAGATATAATTACAACATTCTCATTTTGGATCCCACTTTACGCATAAAAGAATGTATTTTCTTGCTTGACAATAGAACTGTACTTCACTTAAATAAGAACTCTAATACACCAGCTTTGAGTAAATAAGCCACGGAGAGTGGTCACTACATGTGAAAAAGTCCTCTACAAAGTTGAAAATTACCAATTGAGGTCCTTTGAGGAAAATTCTAGAAACCTTACTTTTCAGTACCATGATGATCAATTTTTAATCCACATCCTCTAATCCTGTTTTTTCTTTATCAACCAAACTTTAATTATTATAGAAAAACTCTTTTCAAGAAATTATTAAATAAAATTATAATTTACTTTTCTTCTTAATAATTATCCCTTGTATTATGCTTAATACATAAAATAAGTCAGTGGATGAATGATGAATGTTACTAAAATTTATACTATCAAGATCAATTCAATTAGTCACTTGGCTATCTTTGTTGTCTTTCATTCTTGTCTTCAGTTCAAGCAAAGCACCAACAGCTCCAAAATAACCCTACAAACAATAATTCAAAATTAGTTACCAGAACACATGTAAACCTAAAATTAATTGAGCAAGGGTAGATTTAGGGGAGGGGAGATGGAGGTGTAAACCCCCACCCACTGAGATGACCTGCAGCTTTCTAATAATTATAACCTCACAGTTATACAAAATCTGCCAAGTATTCCCAGCAATTCACATTGTTATTTCGTATTCAAAGGCCTTGTTCTTCATTACATCATTTCTTTGTGGTGCAACCCCTCCTAAAGAAAAATCCTGGACCCATCCTGTAGAGGTTTCTTATTTTCATATTTTTCATAAAGGCAACATCAATATGCCTACCTCATGCACTAGAAATAGAGCTTTCATCATTCCTTTGGACCAATAATCCATTGCATAAGCAAGCAGCTTCATGGCTATTGTGTTACAGCGAAGGAAGTTGCCCACAAATACCACACATTCTACCTTCTGAAATTGTTATGAACAGAATTTAATATTGTGAGTCATTAGTAGTAAGGCACCCAAGAGGCTGTTCACCACCTTCACTTTGTCTCTAGATCTTATACTACTTTAAACTGTCACAGTTCAGGGGTGTAGCCAGGGGAGGGTTCCAGGGGTTCCAGAACCCCCCCACAAGAGGGCAGTTACTATTCCCCTTCTAGACCATCTAAAATCAGAGACGAAAACACACTTCAATCCTACTAACGATGCTGTCTTGTTCAGCCTCTTTAATCTTCTTCCTGAGCAGGTAGCCGTCAGGGACAGAAATCCTGACATTGGAGCAGCGCTAGAGTTTTATGAGAACGACCTTCCTTCTCCTCATGTCATTTTGATGTCGAGCTCCTGTGATGGAAGAGAAAGTGGTGCAGCACTGAGGACGCCGACCTTCCTACCAGTGCCATTCACACACTCACAACATGTGATCGAGTGTTCTTTCCTTACATCCACACCTTGATCCACATTTTGTGCACGTTGCCGATAACGTCAGCTGAATGTGAGCGCTCATTCAGTACACTCCAAGGTTAAAAACATACCTGAGGTCGACCATGTGAAGCGAGCGAGAGTCTGGGCTGGTGTTGATGAACATCAATTACCACCAAGATATAAATATTGAGGAAGTGATAAACATGTTCGCTCAACGGCAACCAAGGCGTCTTCTGTTTGCATAGTGTAAACGCCAAGTCTTGTACGTACGTAATGTAAGGATTTTAGAACCGTTTTCGTTGGAACCAATTTGGAACCCTCTCCTAGAAATCCTGGCTACGCCCCTGCAGTTGGTCTATGACACAGATGATGACACTTTTTTACATTACAGCACTCACATGATTGACAGCACACATTCTTGCAATTGAACCAATGTTGTTAGTTATGGTGACAAGCATGGCTCTTGCTAAATCATTTTTGCTGACTGCAGATCTGTTCTGTTCACAGCACATCTTCCCAAAACTTGATAACACAAAATTTCACATTTAAATAAAATGATAAATAATAATTATTAATTTGTAAGTCAGACTTATCACCACTTATTCAAAACAAAATGATTTTAATTATCAACCCTTTAACTCCCAAGATCTAACAGTCAATTCTCCCCTCTGGCTGCAACATATTTCATTGTAAATTGGTTATGAGAATTTCAACAAGTGTTAACACTTTCTAAATTCTTACTCGCATAGTCTTATTCACGAGAGATATACCTGCTTGCAACTGTATCTCCTGGTAAACCAAACTTAGAATAATCCCCACCATAGATATCTCGAACCAATTTATCAACTTTTGTGCTGTCACCCTCCTCTGCCATGGAAAGAGCTTCATCAAATGACGAGCAGCCAGTTAACAAGTAACAAAGGCCAAGAAATGTTCCACCTCCAAGACTAAAGGACAAAAAGTGAAAGAAGTTAACCATAGATCTAATGGTCAAGAACAAAGTTATCTTTCATCAATAATTTACACCTAACATGCCTCTGACCAATTCTCTAATATATCAATGCTGTCCTTTAAGCCTCGATCCACTTCCCAAGATCTGATTGTTAATTCTCCCCTCCAGCTGCTACACATTTGTTTACAGTTCATCTTAGAGAATTTGGTGTTAGATCAAGATAACAACTTCTACCCAATAGGTTTGAGTATTCTGATTACCTGTTTGCTGGAAAATGTATGAATACATGTTAATCACATCTGAGAGTTTAAGGGTTAATTACTGCTGCTGCAAGTTTTAAACCAAGGGTTCTCAATAAGTGCTGGCTGCTGACTAAAAAGCTGACTTCCTTGACTTGTGAGCTGCCTCCTTTAATAACAAGTATCAGTGAACAGTAAACTGTTAAAACTAATTACAACAAGTCACTGCAGCTACAAAGAAATTCATGAATAGACAACTTTATTGAAAGCCACTTTTGCATTTTACAAAAACATATTCAAGATGCTTTAATTTACATTGACTCACTAGTTCAACAGTCATCCAATCTGTACCTTCTGCATGCTTATCTAGCCAACCAACAGCCATATTTGTTGAAACATACCTCCAACACAATACATGAAATAGCATTTCAGAGCCTCTACATTTGAAAAATAATATTTTGTGAGGGAGCACGCCAAGACCCCATGAGGAAACTCTCAAAGTTTTAGTTGTCTACTCCATGTAGCTAGCCATCCACTACCTGTCAGTGACTAATTGAGAACCCTAGAGACCACAATCTTGACAACAATCTGTTGTCAATATTATACTACAGATGATAAAATAAAATTTTTAATAAATAACACAATGGTGTATAATGCAAATTTTGCATCATACACCATTGCATTATATATTATAATTTGATTTTTAAAAAATGCCATTTTGCAGGAGCTGACTGCAGTCACAGAGAAACAACATGCAGCTAATTCTAAAACTTTACCTGGTACCACTTATCCTTGAAAACTTTTCTGCAGACTCTACTGACAAAATACTGACTCCAGAACCAATGTTTACCACAAGATAGGGATAAGGATTCAAGTCAAAGTTATATGGTACTGTTTCAGACTTCTCTAAACAGTGCAGGTTGTTCCAGTAATAGCATTCATTTAGGCAGGAAGAGTTGATAAAGTGTATGCCATGAATGAGACACTCAAGTTCGTCATACTTCACAAGTTGTACACCCAGGATCTGCAAGGTTTATATGTTCAAAGAATTCAGGCTGGCTTGAAGAATAAACTCAGTGATTAATAATGAGAGCTGGAGCTTTTAATGTTAGTCGAGTGTTTCTTCTGAGAAAAATTAGAAAAGAAAAACAATTTCTTTTTGGAAAAACTGTTTTTCAACACTTAAGGGCTACACTAATGCTGCAACAAACAATTTTTTAGCTGATCAAGTTCATGTAACAGGTCAAATGTAACTTTAGCGAGTGGCTTGAATGTCTGATATTGCACAAATGAATTGGCAATGTGTCTTTCCAAATTACAATTTACAGCATCCCTGTAACCATGCCTTTGCATAATAAATTTAGTGAAGTTGTTCAGGTTAGGGTGTTAAACTTTTATGTGTGTTACTTTTTAACATTTAACTGATACGTAGAGTACCTAAGGTAGTTTTTTTATAAAAAGTAATACCTTTCTGAAAACAAAATCAAACCTAAAGAATAAGAAAGATGGCAAGTTTTGAGCTCAGTAAAGAAATTAATAGAAAGATGTTTTTGTCTAGTCACAAGTGTAAGACAGAGAAAAATTCTGAGTCCCCATTAGGAATCGAATCTTAGACCTTCGGATTCCGCACTCTTTGCTGTATGCAAAACGTGTGTCAAATAAGAACGTCACCATATAGTCGCTGCGGCTCAGTGGAAGAGCACTGGAGCATAGAATCTGAAGGTCTGAGGTTCAATTTCTCATGGCGACTCGGAATTGTTAATTTTTCCTATGCTCATGACTAGACTAAAAGCATCTTTCTGTAAAAAACATACCTCTTTAAAATCCTTTTCAAATTTGAATGCTCCTCCACCTGTTGCACACACCTTGTCATTCAGGACTGATGCATTTAATTCTTCAGCAAGTAAAAGAAATTTTCCCACCACATCAGTTGAAAATCTAATGAAATGCAAATGTCCTCTTCTTCCTCCCAAAACCACATTTTCCATTGCCAACCTTTCATCTCTAGCTCCTGTTTCTCCATAATTTACATTTGACTTGATAAAATCTTGTATTGCCTCCAAGCCAACTTTGTCTTGTCCATTACAGTTTATTTGTGAATTGCAGGGCTCAAAGTACACTAATTTGACCAAGCTTCCTCCGATATCCACGCCAAAGCAGGGAAGTTGAGCTAGGGGAAAAAACATTTAATACTATATTTTTTTGACAGAGTGGCTTGTTGACTTTTTAATGTTAGAGTATATGGTCTGGTTCTATCAACAAACAGTTGATTTCTTCTTCCACTGTGCAAGGCAGTGCTCTAAGGAAAATTGAATGGAGCCCTGCAGTGCTCTGAAACTGTGAAATCCAGGGTGCCCAGCATATGCTTTGTATGAAAAAACTAAAATTGGGCACTGCTAGACCACAGCCTTGACTATGTTTCACTGATGAAAATTTATTTATTAAAATTCATAATTAAGTTCAATGCACGTGCTATTTATGGTTACTGTTGCACAAATGCTTTATTTAAATTCATATATCATAAGAAATATTGCAATGTTTGTTACATAAATCATTTAATTTAAGATGTATAATCTAGGTTTTTTCAGTTGTTCAGTTGAGTTCAACCAAGCAAACCAGTCACTTGCCAAATGTATTGGACCTTGGTTTTCTTTTCGACCAAACACACTGTGGCATAAATGGTTTCCCATCTTCAATTAGATTAAACCTTCCTAGTATCTGAGGCAAGGTTTGAAAACTTGTAAATAACACAAGGGGTTAATATCACTGGGATCTTCCCAGGTATTAGTTGGGAAATACATGTATTTAGTCCCCTGCTACAGTGTATGTTCAGACCTTGTGCTTGCAGGCAACAATATTTGATAGATTATTACTAAATAAATTAAATGTGAAGCAAGTCATATTCACTAGTGATATCAAGTAAAATTGGGATATATGGGAAAGAAATGTATCATTTGCCAGTATATCTTGCAATAAAATTAATACAAGGTCAAATATTTATACCAAGGTTGGGATAAAAAGGAAATTAGGATTCAACTAAGGTAGAAATTTTTAACTGAGCTTAATATTCATTGTAAAATTTAAAAAAAAAAACAGATACTGTTTAAGATTAAGGACAAGTGAAACTGAAATGCCACCTTTAGTGAGATGGGAAAAAAAGGCACAGTATAATACTTACAGCGTTTCCTCATAGTGTCAGACCTTCAAGAGACTTACAGTAAACAAAAGAAATATCTTACAGCTGTGGGCGAAATTAAGAGGCCATAGCAGTTTCCCTAATGCACTACCACACTAGTTTTTGCACTTGATGTTAGGGTTAGGGTTAGGGTTAGGTTAGAAAATTTGAAAAAACATAATACAGTGTATGCGGTAATTTTAGCCATGACAACAAGACTCGCCTAGAATTCATAAAATATTAATTGATTTCCCTAATGAATACAAATTAATTTATTTCCTTATTACTACAAGTTTTACTCCTTTTTGAGTTAATGTTTTTGGTACTTGGTCTCCAGTATAAGAGGTTCTGATCCCATAACTTAAAAGATTTTTTTTTCTTCCATAACATTAATGGTTCCATAAGTGGGCAGCCACTTTTGCACATCAAAATATAGAGTAATAAATGCTTAGCTAAATTAACTAAAAACCTCGATTCATAAAATCTTCCCTAAGTCTACATCAATAGACCTCTCAAGTTTATATCATGGTTTATTTACCAATTTAAGCCAATGTGATAATACTCTGGAGAAGCGTTTTTCCGACTTTCGCCTTATTCCCGTTTATGTAGGCACAATTTACAAATGACAAAGCTGCGAAATTCCCCCGAGACCTGAAATGGATAAACAAAGCATGAAAGCTTAAGAGGTCTACGTTGGAAGATAGTAGAGGTACATTTATAATAGCTTATCAGCCCAGAGCTTAGAAGCCCACAGGAATTTTTAACTCGACATTCTACTTTAATACACATTTGTACACACACATACACACACACACACACTCATATATATGCACACCCACAGTAAAATGAGGACAACAAGCCTTGGGTAAAACTTTGTTCAGTCAATGATTATGCAATTTTGACCTTGCAACTGTAGCCTATACAGTAAATTACGCTAAATCTTGAAGAAGTTTAAACAAGAGACTTGTAAGCTTATAATACAAATAACGTGTTGTCTTCGAAAGATAAATGTGATTTGTGACCAACCTTTACTCATTTCAGATCTCAGGTACTTCGTTTTGGCCTGACTTCACTTTATTCACGGCAGACACGTCACGCTCCTCAGTTGCATCGTGTCACGTTTCACATCATGAGATTTACACATGACCACATTGTAAGGTTCGAAAGTACCCCGTAAAAAAACACGCTTATTTTCCGTCATTTCAAAGGCCATAAGTCGTGTCCACTAATGACCACCTTATCATCTAAAGTCACACAACTGCTTTACCTGGGGTGACAAGTTTTAAGTGACAGTGTACAAGTGTTCGCGGCGATCATGAATGCGGCGATCATGAACCTCAGCCACAGGAACTCCACACAAACGGCGTGTGTGGTCGTTTGTTCGAAATATAAAGAGATGTATGGGAGAATATTGAAGAGTCGTAAAATCGTAAACTTATATCAAGGAATGTCTATGTTAAGGCTCAAAATAAATGTAAACCTACCTCACTTGCTGTGTATTGTCGTTTCTGTGGTTCTAAATGGCGAATTTGAGCGATTTGGTAGATTTTGCGTTGACTGTTACTTTACTGTCTCCTTCTTATACACAGCAAGTGAGGTAGGTTTATATTTATTTTGAGCCTTAACATAGACATTCCTTGATATAAGTTTACGATATTACGACTCTTCAATATTCTCCCATACATTTCTTTATATTTCGATCAAACGACCAGACACGCCGCTTGTGTGGGTATCCTGTGCCTCAGCTAGAAGAGCCTGAACGACTGGGCGAGTGTATGAAGGGCTCGAACGGTCCACGGCATTACTCGAGGCAATATCTAGATTTGTGTAAGGTACACGAAATGACTAGGAGTCAATAGATGTACCCATAATTCCTGCATACGCTGTCAAGCCACATGTAAGCAAAATGTCGACGTTTTCTCATTACAACGAGCGAGGAGTCATTCGAGATATTCAATCTCTCTCGGAAATCATTCATCTCGACCATTCGTATGCCAAGCCATGGTCAGCACATCCCGATGCATCAAAAGTACGTCCAGTTAAAACGTTGTTTCTGCCCAGGGAGGATCTAGAGAACTTTCCTCTGGCAGATGACGAGGAAATCGATGTCTGTGAATCGGCTGTTCCATGTTATTCTGCCAACATCATGTATGATACTGCAAAAGCCAAGACAGTAATGGCTGAGTGTGAAAAGTTTGTGAGCACTGTGTCTAGTAAAAAGACTCCAGACACATGGGAGGAGCAAATTTCCAGGTGAGATTGTGTTGTAGAATTTGTTATTAGCTGAAAATGTCATCACGGGAGCCCAATACCGGTCGACAGCTTTGTGACAACTCTGTTTCAATCGCCAATAAACGATCGGATACATCCGCTCCGACGAAGGGCTAACGCTCGAAACGTCAGCTTTTGTAATCGTTACGGTGGTCAATTTACCATTTCAACTTTGTTGATATATCCAAATTATTTTACTAGGAAAGTGTGGTTGCTATGAAATAGATCGATAAATTGCTTAGAAAAGTGGAACAGTTAGAGAATTTACTAGGAAAGTGTCGTTGTTATGAAGTAGATCAATAAATTGCTTAGAAAAGTGGAACAGTATTTTAATGAACACATCTCTACCAGTCCGTTGTACAATGTTGTAATCAGGATTTCTTTGTATCCTTAGAATAAGAGAAATCCCAGCACTCATTTATCACTAAATTTACCAGAAAATGTTTCATGACCAATAATGCCCTTTTTGACAACCAGTTAGATCATGTTTTGCCTTCACATGTTCATGCTTGGATGCAAGGGACTGTAATAGCCATAATTCTACCATTTATTACTTTGTCCACTTCTTGACATTGGACAATTTAAAAGGTCATTCAGAATTAAATGCATTACTGGAAATATAATAGGGTTGAATTTTAATTTCTTTTTTGTTTTAACCTCATTTTCATGATGCATATGAATTAAAGAGAAGTTAACATTGAACCACAACATGATCAAACATAAAACAATTTTTTTTTCTAGAAATGGCTGGAGTGCCAAGCAGAGTGTGTTATTTGACAAAATTACAAGAGTCCTGTCAAACCTGAGACTGGCAAGATTGACCTATGAAGGAGTAAGATCTGTTTAAAGTATTGCCTCATTGGGTAAACTAACTGTTGCCAGATTAGCTTGGGAACAGGCTCTTTAGGTACTGTGGTGTGAGTGGTGAATCTGCCCTACTGTTAAACCAACACTGTCCATTAGAACTTTAAGCATGTTTTTGCTGCTGTTTTGGTTTAGAAGACTGGGCATAAGCTTTAGAAAGGTTCATAGAAGACTTGAAAACACTAAAGTTAGGAAGGATCGGACTTCTTATCTGGAAAACATCCAAACCAATTAAATCAAAATTCCTAGTAGGGGAATTCCATAGGGAATTTTGGAATTCTCTAGGCTGAAAGAGTCAGAATTTGTTGACCTGCTGATGTAATGTCTGTTTTTACAGCTTCCCAATGAGCCTGTTATGAGACGTATAACAACAGATAAGGCAACCAAGAGAACAAGACAAATCTTAAGTGAAACAGAATGGGTGAGTTTCGTTTTCTTACAATTGGTCCCAAACTATATCCTTTTGATATGTTATGGTCTAATATACAGACCATTTGATAGGGTGTGGGGAAAAAAGGGAAAATTATGCGGAAGTTTTCGGCAATATTATGCGGAAGAAAGTGACAATTATGTGGAAAAGATGCCAGATTCTGCGGAAATTTTTAAAACTTTATAAAGTTGTTCCCTTGGCTTTTTCCAACGTATAAAATATACGTTAATGTCTTACCGAGAATTTTTGTCCTTTATGACATGTTTGACCTTTTGCTGCCATTCATGGACAGGTATGTCTTCGTTCAATGCAGTTTTTTCATAGTTTTCATTGTTGAGTTTGTCCGAAGCTTAGTAACCAGCCATTAAATTGGACGAGGAAAACTGGACACCAGAAGTCCCAAAATATTAAAACAAAAGTAGAACCCAGGCCCATCACCAGAAGATGCATGGAACGCCAGGCAGTTTAAAATTGTTTACGAATGAAAGGCATGTTTTCGTTGCTTTTTTTTGGGTGAATAACTTCTTCAAAATGATCAACCAAGGAGATGCTTTACCAGTACTTGATTTAAAGCAGACTGTAAACAGAAAGACCAAGAAGATAATGTACTCTGTCCATTACAAGAAGACTCACACAAACATAAATGTGAAGAAAAGGTCCAATCACCCAGAAAGTATGAAAAGAGCCATTATAAAAGGTTTTTCTGACAGAGCGAGGGCTTTATGTGATGAAGAACACCTGGAAGACGAACTATGCAACATCGAAGACATGTTTGTAGCAAATGGATACCCCAGAGAATCAGTGAAAAGATTTATGGAACAAAGACCTCAACAGGTAGACAAAAGAGAACAGGAAAGTCATGGAGTCGTGACCATACCATAATTATTTGAAAGGGTTATCTGAACAGTTCAGAAGAACTGTTAACCGACACTCTTTTCAAGTTGCTTTCAAGCCTGGAAGAAAGGTAAAAGTGATTAAACACACATGTCAAGAGCCACTTGGTGAAAAGCAAAAATGCGTTGTGTATAGGATTCCTTGCAACTGCCAGAATACTGTGTATGTAGGAGAAACATGGTGCCTTTTCCAAACAAGAAAGAAAAAACACATGGACAAAGTGAGACTAACAAATGAGGACCTTCATAAAGGAAACACTCTATCAGCCAAAAAATGGATGGGCAAAGAAGATGGAGGCTTGGCACGACACACCATGGAGTGCCAAAGTGGTGTTGATGGGGAAAACGCAGAGATCGTAGCAACAGAGAGAGGATTAAAGCAAAGAAAAGTTCTAGAAGGAATTGAGTCACTACGACAGAAACATTGCAGAATGAGAGTCCTTAACAATTTTGACCACATTGAGACATGGAAACCAGTTAGCTCAATTGGTTAAGCACCAGACTGTTGTGCGGGAGGTCAAGGGTTTGAGCCCTAGCTGGACCAACACTCAGGTCCTTAAAATGATTGAGAAGAATATCCTACTTTTCTATAACATCACGAAATGGTTAGATATTCTAGTGTTCTTGGATAGGGACAAATAAATAGAGGTCCCGTCTCCTGCATCTATTTATTAGTTAATTTGATTAGGTAGGGGATGTTAAAGAACCCACTTCAGGAGATTACTGTGATGTGGTCTGGCCTGGGAATTGGGGGGAGGGGGCATCTGTTGTATTCGCTTTCATTTTGGTTTTAAAGATATTTTAACCTCGGAAAATCCCAGAAACGATTAAAAAAATGTAGTTTTTATGATCAATATTTTTGCTTCTGAGGATGGTAAGCAGTTGCTTTCTTGCTTATACGTAGAAATTTTCTAGACTTTTTATGCGGAAAAATGCCTCAAGGATGCAGAGGATACGGAAGTAGGTGAATTATGCGGATCCGCACCCCCACATCCTGTCAGATGCCCTGAGTATAGTAAAACTGAGTGTTGAGTGAATTCACAACATTTTGTATACCAGCACATCACTAAACTAAATGTTTCCTTTTGATAACTGAAGATTAGAACCTTTCCTCAATGATAACTTTGCATATTTCTGATGTTGCAGAAATGTGTGGATAAATTTTTTTTTTCTACTAAACATAGTAAAACTGTACCAAGCAAGAACATACCATTATATGTGTGAAGTTACAGTAATCACCAGTCATATGGCAGGCTCTTGGCTGATGAAAAAGAAGAAGAAAATGCATGAAACAAAGATATTTATTCTAATTCTTACCTTTTTTCTGGTGACAATACTTTATAATACTTTATTCCATAGGATCCAAATTTAATGAAATGGTTGCACAGTACCTTAGTGGATGGCTTGAGTATTCCTTTGTTGGCTTGCTACCTTGATGTCCTTCAAACCCTCAGAGCAAAAGTGAGTCTCTTTCTTATGTTTCTTTTGTACATCCTGTTTCACAGTTTTAATCTCATGAGCGACCAAGACAGAATTTATCCTTACCATAGCAATAATATCTATCCGGACACAAATACAACTAGTTTAAAATCACTCAAAATAATATATTTTGAAGGATAACAAAATATTGTAATGGAATATATAAATATTTACATATTATGGACTCTTTAACTGCACCTGAATCTCAAGAAATTGATGTTTCAGAGCCTTTTGCAATTGTTTCTTACATATTTGTGTTAAAAATGTTTAATTACATTGTGTTACTGATATTACTCCCTTGAGGTTCCAACACTTGTTGATCGAATGCTTGTACAACCCACCAGTCAGCGGCGTGGCTTGGCTGCAAGTTCAGAAGCTCTGAGCTTGCTTCTGAAAAGACCTTGGGACCCTGCCCATGGACTTGTGACG